TGGAAAAATGGCTATAGTACTCGACCTACAAACAAATTTTTGCACTTTTATTTCTATCATCGGAAGGATTTGTTTACCATTATTATTCTTCGAATACCATCACTACTTATAGCAGAAATGTTTCATGGCTTAAGGTTCTAGAAGCTTCCGATTAGTATATTTACTCAATCTTGAAATTTAATTTGAAGGTGTAGTTAGCAAGTTAGTTAACAACGATTAGAAAAAAATATGAAACAGATGAGGTGAGAAGAGGTTTGAGTTAAAACAATAAACAAATGAACGAAAAAAGTGGAAGGATTTTTTTCTGACATGAAAACATGGGTTTAGAATTTGATCTTAACAATTTTGTCAGTAAAAAAAGTGAAGAAAACCAAAATTTTTGAAGATTTTCATTGAAAACTGAAAACGTGTTGTCATCATTTTCATAGTGAATCACTAAGTTTTCCTATCCGGAAGCCAATATGAAACGGAAGCCAAACTGTTTTTTAAAATGAGGTACATCACCAGAAATGTTGTTTCGTGGAGTGCAGTTATAATGAAATCGAATTTAACTGCTTGTGACCAGACTTCATTATAGAATAAATGTCGAAATATGTGCACAAGCGAAGACTTCAGTTCTTTAACAAAGATGAATGACCACTGAGCGCCTTTGTGTTTCAACGAGATCGCATACCATGTAATAATCTTTTTCTCATGGGAGAACTCAAAAGAAGTTGAAATTCGACTTATGCTTAAACCTGATTCGTGCTTAAAAGTAGACACTGTTAGCCGTTATCACTATATTGATGATTCCTCAAAAAATGAATCAAATTCAGACTTCAAATTTTGGAAATTTTAATCAGTGGTTAAACTTAGTCTAGCTATTATCTTCCTACCAGGTTTTCCATCCGTTGGTAAATCGACGCTGTTGTGTAATCTTGCCGGTGTTTATTCGGAAGTAGCAGCATACGAATTCACCACCCTAACAACGGTACCAGGTGTAATTCGCTACAAAGGTGCCAAGATGCAGCTTCTAGATTTGCCTGGAATAATCGAGGGTGCAAAAGATGGGAAAGGACGTGGCCGACAAGTGATTGCTGGTTAGTTTAAAAGGCACATTCGAAGCTTTAAATTGCGATTTAAATCTCATCTTTATGGTTATATCTTGACGATCATAAAAGAATGCAAATGCGTCATAGCTTTTCATTTTTTTTTCAGTGGCGAGGACATGTTCATTAATATTGATGGTATTGGACGTTATGAAACCTCTGCAACACAAAAAATTGCTTGAACAGGAATTAGAAGGCTTCGGCATACGATTGAACAAATCACCACCAAATATTGTTTTTAAACGTAAAGAAAAAGGTGGACTAAACTTAACCTCTTTGGTAAGTCTGATAAAAGCATACGTCAGCAATCTTATCAACAGTATCAAGCCTTTCACTGTTTCTAATGTTTACGAGCCATACTTAAGCCATACTTTTTTAATACTCTTATTCTTAATACATCACTGATTGCCTCCAATAATTCGAAATCTCTTGTCGAAATCTTACTAATTCCTTTTATCGTCGTTTTGGGACTATTGTATTGAATTATATTACTTTACGCAGCTGCATTTCAAAATTTCATTTTTATTTAGGTTCCACAATCGGAGCTTGATACGGAGATAGTAAAAAGTATTTTGGCAGAATATCGTATACATAATGCCGACGTATCTCTAAAGTATGATGCCACATCGGAGGATTTAATTGACGTGATCGAAGGAAATAGGTAAGTAGGTTTCAAATAGTTCCTTTTTCTGGTGTCTTGAGTAGAAGATTTGATATCTTCTAAACTCCCATCTCCTCTGTTGTCTCCTAATTAGTTCATGAATCATTGGAAGTCCGCATTGTGTGTTTTGACCAGTTCAAGCTTATGAAAGTTCCTGTCTATTGCAGGATTTATATACCATGTATATATGTTTTAAACAAAATCGACCAAATTTCAGTAGAGGTAAGGTCGTCTTTTTTGAGATTTATTCAGGCGAGATTTATTTTCAGTCCCATTTTTTGATTGAAACAATTTTCAGGAGTTAGATATAATATATAAAATCCCCCATTGTGTGCCCATTTCTGCACATCACAAATGGAATTTCGACGATTTGCTGGAAAAAATATGGAACTATTTGAATCTCATTAGGGTGTAAGTTTTGCAATTTTCTTTCACTACCTAACGCTTCAGAATGAAAAATTGGAAGTTGAAAATTGAAATGTCAAATTCAAATGAGCTAGCAGAGTCCGATATTCCCTGCAGAAGTCTCAGAAACCAAACTTGGTGGATACCAACAATAAATAAAACGAAATACCTACAATTTTGAATATAATGAATATTTACAATTCTTTTGTATCCGAGAACAAATTGAGTGGTGGCGAAAGTCGTAACTATTTAGATATACCAAACCGAAAGGACAGCTGCCTGATTACAACGCACCCATTGTACTACCAGCGGAAACACGAACTGTGGATGATTTATGTTTCAAAATTCATAAAACTCTTCAGAAAGACTTCAAATTGTAAGCTGTTTTCAAAACCTTCTATTCAAAGAACAAGATAATATAAAACGGAATGTTTTTATAGGTTAGTTATCGCTTCAACATGTAAGAAGATACGTTATAACCAATTCTGGCGGCATCATTAGTGACTGTTTATCAGTTCTTGGTACTATGATTTCTCATTTCCAGCGCATACGTTTGGGGAAGTTCGGCGAAACACAATCCGCAAAGAGTGGGGAAAGAACATGTATTAAATGACGAGGATGTCGTACAAGTCGTCAAAAAGTTTGCTTTCTCACTCATTTTTTTTGAATGAAATGTAATAGGTGTGATATGCTATGCTGAGTACCCAAAGCATACACCAAATTATATTTATGTAATCAGAATGAAATGTAATAGGTAATCCAATAATTCACCATTCGGGATCCTCGTTGGTTTGTTCACTCACGAAGCGTTGCTCATACAAATTTTTGTAAAAGCAAATTCGGGCCAGAAAAAAACAATTTGTTTTCGAAATATAACAGAAACCGATTATCTAAACACCGAATATTTTCTACTGAATTTTTTGATTCCAATTCTTGAACCCGTCTTTCTGCTTCTTTAGACCTTCGATATATATATATATATATATACATGCTTTTAATAAAAATGACGAAATGCACCAATATGGTATTTGGAAAATAACTTTTCATATCTACTCAAACAGAAATACATATGCTGAGTACCCAAAGCATACAGCAAATTATATTTATGTAATCAGATTATTTTGTAGACAATAATAGAGTAGACAGTAGACAGTAATAGTACCGGATGGCTTTTCATTGATTCTATTTTTATTGCAGGATTTAAAAAAGGAAAAGACGTAATGCAGACTTGTCGGTCTTCTTTTCTTAGCAGCTCTCTTCTCCGACAGTTTGTGATTTCAATTGTTCCTTAATGTTTATGGTTTAAAACTATTCAATTTTCAGACAGATCTAAGGGAAAGAAGAAAACATTTTTTTTTAAACGCTGAATTTAATATCCAACTAACTGTAATAGATGACATTAATAGATACGAATATATTAATAGATACTTTGATTATTTCTTTTCGCCGCAACCTTTCTGCCTCTGAGTTGAGCAGCTGCTCAAATTTTCGTTGTTTCTTTATGTTATTAAACTACAAAGTGAATAAGTTACGTCAAATAATACTAATGAAAAGCATTGAATTTTACAGAGCAGTTCGTATCGTCCTTTCGGTACGGACAGAGCTCTTGATCATCAGCAAGCTGGTAGAGAATTCAGCTGTTAGCAAAGGTTAAGATAACAAAGGTTATTTACTGGTTCCTGGTACAATAAGCACCATGTCTACAAATCAAGATTTATGAGCTTGTGGTGAAATGAAACATTAAACCTTGATTTCTGTAGCATGAATGAACCAATACAATATATTCCATATATTGTACGATACAATATATTCAATACATTGTATAATACAATATATTCCATATTGTACAGCATATTCCAATGAACCAGCATATTTCAATGAACCAAAATATATTCCATCAAGTATCAGATATGAAATTACCTGGCAGCGATCCCTTTTATACCTCTCCAGTATATTATTGCAAAGACCATCGAGGATTTCCTTTATATCACCCGGTATCCGAATCTCTCTTTGTTTCATTTTTACTACCGGGACATCAACAAATAAACTAAAAAATTCGAAATATTAATGCGTGCAAAGTTATACACTCAAAAATGAGACAGTCTCAAAACTTAAGATCGAATTCCGAAAAAATTAACGGTTACCTATTAAGGATTACCTTGAATTGATTATGTCTTGCAATCGTGGTAAACAGCGAACTTCTGGCAAGAATATTGAATTTAATAAAGAATCTGCAAGAACATTTTTGCAAAGATGTGAATATTTTCCCTTATATGATTAATGAATTACATTTTAAAGTAGTTATATTAGACTCGCCGGAAATTTATTTTTCAAAATCAATATTCCAATAAAACTTCCCCCAGAATATAAAAAACACAGATGTCTGGAGTCTGCAGCTTGATTTCATTCCCTAAACTACCATTGGTTTATGTGAGCAGAAACTTACGGAACGCAGATGGTACACTGGCAAGTGCCTCACTCGCTGAGTGCAGAGGAAATGTGAAGAAACCCGTGAGTAGTTCGAAAAGAAATCCACCAAATGTAAACACAAACATATCTTCGAGAGTCTAAAGAAATTTTGACAATTCCTTTTAAAACTTGTAACGTTTGTCACGTAATTTAATTCCCACCAGATTTATCTCTTCTCTGATACCCTCTGCGAAGTAAAATCCCAACATTTGCGCCACCAGCAACTACGATAAAGTATAGGTAAACAGGATAAGATTGGAATTTAAATTTCTGTCATCTGAAAAAGAGAAAAAGTGGACCTTTGAGTGCAACTTTTCTAAGCTAGATTGACTAAAATTTAATGATTTTCTGCTTCCCGAAATTTATACCGAATGATTCTGGAGAACTCACATTAACAGCTTGCGAACACAACATTGAAGGACGTTGCAAACTTGGTTGTCCAGTTAGGACTGCAAAGATTTAAAGATTTAGAAATAAATAATTTTCAAAAAATCGCATTCTTTACCTTGATCCAAATCAATTAGCTCACAACCGCATTCTGTAATAACAACATTCCCTGCATGAGCGTCGACTGAAATGAGAAATCTTAAATACCGCAGCTTGTTGTACGATAGTTTGCTTTATTTTGCAACGCTCATTTTGAGCACGCTCATTTTGAGGTAAATTCTGCTGTCATATTCGTCAGTGTAATGCAAAAAGAAATTTGAAGTGTTTGAGTACTCATATTAAAAAGAAATGAAATGTGAAATGACACAATACCTCAATCTGTGACACACTCAAACTTTTTTTACTTTTTTTCAAGCATCTGTTGAAAAATTAATAGAAATATGGACAAGTCACTAAATCTCAAAAGAAACTTTTGAGACAAGTCTCAAAAGAAACAAGAAATACGGAGATCTCCAACGGAAACGTTATATATATTTATCATTTCTATAAGAAATTTGAAAAATGAAACATACGGTATGGCAAAGAAATCGCGTTTAGTAATATCAATATTTCGAGCAACTGCCGACAAATTAAGCGAATATCATGCATTTCAAACGAGCAAATAGAAGTATCCATCCTGTATTTTGTAAAAAAATCGTCCTTCCAGTTGCTCTGGAAACAATATCTTGTGGATATTATTAGAAAAAAAAACAGCGAATTCCGCCAACTGTTTATCTCGAATAATGGTTTTTTAATTTCAAAAGCTAATTTTGGTGATTGCATAGTTCTGTTTCAGAAATCTGTTCTACCGTAAATGGTTAAAAGATAAACTTGAATTAAACTGAAAACTTAATTCAGGCAGTCACTTCATTATAAAACGAAGAAATCCTAACTTTATAAAGCCGATCACGTAATGTTCCTTCCTTGAAAACGGGTCTAATATATACAATTCCGCCATCAGTAGCCCAGCTCGTTATACTTTCGTTTAAATGTGGACACTGCAAGGTTCGAAAAAATTCAAGGGCATTGTTAAGACTTGCTACTGTCCCAAAACGATCTGGACCATAACGGACGCCAGAGAGCACGAGCTTTGAAGAACCACATGTAATTTCATAATGTACTTTGCCAGGTCGCCAACCACAATGCTTTCTTTGTTGCTCAATGATCCACTGATGTTTATCGCGGAAAGACAAAAGTATCCACTCATGCAAACCTATGTAAATAGGAAATTTCATCGCGTCAGTTTAATCTTTTTGAACTTTGAATTTTAGATAAACAGTAAAACCAGAAAGCAGTGACCTAATTATCAGGTACTAACATAACTGGGCTCAAGCACTTTTTATATCTGCTAAATAAGCTCACCCAAATTCAGGAGTACATAGATATTTGAACAAGCACTACGACCTGCCAGTCACTTTTTTAACTCATAATGCCTAGATTACAGCTAAACTGCTACCTTACCAATGTAAGTTTCGACGGAACTTTCAAGGAAACTAGCTACTGCTGGACATGCATATAAGATTGGATGTAGGCAGATGGCATCCAAAAATTCCTGCAATTATCTAATATAATATATTTGCAACAGAGATTTAAAACAGAAAACAGCATTACAACTGGAAGAAATTACATTACAAGCTTCTATCAACTGCCAGATCCAGTCAAACTCTGTTTAGCCAGTAAGAGTAGCAGACAGCAACGTCTTAGCTTGCTTAGCAAG